GTTATCTTATTTTAATTGGTGAGACTTTTAGTATATTTCTTGTACTAAATCTAGTACAATGTACTAAATCTAGTACAGGTAAATCCAATCTATTAATGCTGCAGATCATAATGAAATTGGATTAAAATGTAATTTGGGTTCCTTTTTAAGCTCTCTAAAACCCATTTACGGACACTCTTTTATTAAAAATTCTCTCAAACTCCCTAAAAATTTTATCAGAATGCATAAATTTCAAATTCAAATAACGATAAGGTCATTTCATTTTAATATGTCATGCAGTTCACTTAATTTCATACATAGGAAAATTTTTATTCACATAATAAGCATAGATTTAATGGAATATATAGTGTGATTTAACTTTTTATGTAATAAGTAATTACTTTGTCCATCTCTAATTAGTAAGCCGCCTGCTTTCGATTGCTGTTTTAAAGGCTTCTTGAAAAGAGAGACTCATTTAAAAATGTTTAGATAGATTCTACGATGAGCACAAGTTTAAAATAAGATAAAATAAATTTGAGAAGGATTTAGATTTATTCATTATTTCATACATTCTAACATGAATAAAGCCTATTTATAAATTCATTCATGCCAGCTTGTTAGTATAATTAATTCCCATTGAATTATAATGAAAGAAAAAGTTTAGAATATGAATTTATTGTTTCTTTTAATAATTTAAAATTTAAAATTATAGGATACTTGTATTGGGCAAATTTGATTGTATATATCAATTTTATTAAAAAAAAACTATATAAGTTACTATATATATATATATATATATATAAATTATGACATACGTACAGTAACGATAATAAATATTTAAATTAAGGCTTAGTTATATTGTATAAAAAATCGAAACATTTGATCGATTGTTGTTATGTTATATTTATCTACAGTATCTGTTCGAGATTTTTTTAAAAATCATCTAATCAAAATATAAATAAAAATAAATCTAGACTAGGAAAACAGGAACTATTGTAAGTCCGAAGTAGAGGTTGGAATTTTGTGATATTTTACATTTAATTGGATTATATTCCAAAATATCGCAAAATTCACGTGATAAACTCGAATTATTAAAACCGGTTCCTACCTCTAGTTCGGAGTAGTAACTTAGTGGTGGCGAATGGGAGAGCGCAATCACATGATTTTTGACCAATCACATTATAAGATCAGGTGTAGCGTAAAATCAAAACAACGAAGTATTAAAATTATAAAATCTTTCTTTAGGGTATGTATTGTTTAGCACTAAGGTGCTTAAAGATCGTATTAAATGTAAAATTTTGCAAGAAAATTTTTTTATTAAGATACCAAAGACGGTTTCATATTTTGATCGTACGTACGGTTAATATAGACTTGCAAGTTTCAATTTTTATAAATAACCCTTTTTGATGGTTAGGGTTAGGGTGAGCGCTAGTATTGTCCTTTTTTCATGTTATGATTTATAGGAAAAGTAATTTGGGCTTTGCGAATTTTTTACTTTTACAAACCGTACGTACTATCATAATTTCTACGCCGAAATGTAGATGCTGGTTCCGCAAATAAATTTGTGAATTTGTGTTCGAATTTGCATATAAATACATTCATATGCGCAACTAAATCCATATAATCCGTAAATAAAGTTTTTTATTTAGTTGCAGCCCGCAACTAAATTAAAAATTGAATTTCAGACACTGGCCGGCCTCTAGGCAACACCAGGGCGTAGGATCGATTTGACTAACACGTGATTTTTCGAAATCAATAGTCTTTGAACAAAAAATTTAATTCATGTTAGGGTTTTGGCGTTAGTTAAAGTTAGAAAGAAGAATACTATATCAAAATTGCACGAGGAAATTTTTTTGTTAGAAACGAAATGTCGATTTACTAGTGTAAATTTTAAGATAAACGTGATTTTTGCAAAGCGAACGTTTGTTTTGAAATTTTTACGTTGCACCAGATCTTGAATTTTAATTGGCTAATTGTTGTCGGAAAATCACATGACAGTAAAATCGATCCACGCCCTGGTGTTGCCTGGCGCAAAACCTACATTTTTGATACTCCCGCACCTACTTTTTTGATACATTAAACATACCCTAAAATTTATATACTTTTTTACTAACTTTTACTATAATAACGTGCAATCCTATTGGTTAGTTTTAGGGTATGTTTAGGTGTATCAAAAAAGTAGGCGCAGGAGTATCAAAAATGTAGGTTTGCTGCCCTGGTCTCTAGTATGTGATGATCACGTGCCATATTCATTCCTGAAAATGTAAGTCCTCCGCTACGCTCCGGACAATAAAAAAATTACAATCGATTTGAGAATTTAAATTTAAATGAGGATCCATTTTTATGAATTGTAATTATCTGATTTTATACAAATATTTATCTTTTTTACAATTAAATTTTTTATTACAGATTCGCAAAAATAAATATTTATGACCCTCATTAACCATCTCATTTCTAAAAAAAAATAAAAATAAAAATAAATAAAATAAAAATAAAATATATTTTATATATTATTAATTGTTTAAATATATGATTATGTTTCACCGGTATGTGTAAAATGTTGGTGTGATACCCCTGTATATGCTTCTTCGTCGTCGCCGTCGTCATCATCATATTCCTCCTCCGATGACGAAAACTCCTCACCTCCTCTAGATGGCATAGGCATAGTCATTGACCTAGTTGGTGTTCGTCTCAAACCTCCAGGTCCTTCTCTAACCAAAGGTGGGGATCTAAGGGAATCATCTTCAGTTATAACTTTTTCATGAATTCCATACTTTTCGCTTTCTGGCACTTCAAACACAACAGACGGGGCATCATGTTTTTGTACATGTGGAATACCACGTGTTGTATTCTTATGAGGAAGAGGTTCTACGCTTGAGGGAGTAAGCCTAAGTGGCCTTAATTTAGCATCTCTTTTTTTTTTCTTTCGTTGGTTGAAATACAAAATCACGAAAACTCCAGCAATAAGCGCAACTATAGCTGCGACAATTATTATAATTATAATTGGAGATGGAGAACTCGATTGTGATGTTGAGTCACTAGTATCAGCTGCAGTATTAGTAGATGACATATTTATCGTTTAATGAAATTCATGAATTTTCCGTTTTTATTTTATTTTTTATTTTTTCTTTTTTGTGTTCTTGAACCATAAAAAAAAAAAGTTTCTAAATGCAATCCTAAAGATTCTTTTAAAAATGATTTTCGTTGCCTCTTTATATTGATAGCCTATCTTCTTGCTACGCAAATATGTCCAATGTGGCTTGGGCTATCAAAAATAAGGCAATTTAATATTTATTAGACAAGATCCGCCGGTCCTCGATCACACAATCACACGTGGCTGTGTCCTTTACTTGAAAATTTTCAAGAATATTAAGATCACCCTTGAAAATCCAATACCGAACAAAGCCACCATGCAATTTTTCTGGTTATATTCAATTACATTTATTCCGAGAAATTCATTGAAAGTTGACAGGTAATTCGTTTCCTTATTTCAAATATGTTCGTACCCCATAGTGACAGCAAATTAGTTAATATAATACAGTAATATCGATAGAGATAGTTAATTATAATTTGGTGTAATGTAACACAATCAGCAAATACAAAACACGTTTATTTATTTCTCATGAATGCATAAAAACCCACAAAAAGTTTTCCTCAAACAATTTTACTATCGCGATGGGGAGGATTGCTTACATTTAGCCTTAACATAATTGCTAAACTTAATCGAACTTTAAGCATTTTTAGATCGTCACATGTCCAAAGTTTTTTGTTGCCACACTGGGAGGATTATGATTCCTGTTTGATCGCTCGAAATGTATTTCAATGAAAAACTGATTTCAAGATTGTATGTTACGAAATACTCATGAATGGATTTAAATAAGTGATTAGAAGAATTCATATGAATAATTAAATTCAGCATATAAACAATTCACCGGAATGTTGGTAATTTATGCTGATTACATGACCTATGTTATCTGTTATTTTGTACATACGTACTAGAGTTTGGAACCGGCTTTATTTTTCATATGTAACAACCGCTTAAAACCGGTTCCACACTCTATTACTTATTACGTATGTACGGTACGCCCTCGAT